CAGTGACCTAAAGAAGGTAATGATTCACAGGTAGATGCAATGAGAAGTATTCAAAGGTGAATATTGTATTTTATGACCATTCTTTGCAAGAATGCCTTTGAGGAAGGATGGGAGGCGGGAGAGTAATTCTAGTAATTCAAACATGGAGTATTATTGATCTCTCAGACAAAAATAAAAGAAGCAAGGATTCAAAGAAAGATAGGCAGATTGTTTTTGAAGAAATAATTGACTAAATTTTATGATGGGTTAGATGTTGAAGGTGCATTTAGCAAATATTTATTAAGGACCTACTGTGTGTCAGTTAAAATTGGGAGCAAATGAGATATGATCCTTGCTTTCTTGGAGTTTATTGTTTAATAGGGGAACATACATTTGTCAATAATCACCCAAATATAGGATTGGAAACTGTGGCAATGCCATGAAGAAAAAGTGTAGGGAATTTTGCGTGCACAGAGCTTTGGGGACTTGATTTGATAAGGGATCCTTATGAAGTTATCTCACTAGCACTTAATTCTTAATTAAACCACATTTCTAGAGAGTGGACATCTGTCGGTTCTTTTAATTTAGCTTAAAAAAATATTTCCTCTAAAGACCAAGGCTTTTAAAAATTTTAAAAAATGCTTGGCTAATCAGGGAAAAAATGCTTTTGGATAGCTGGTACCATTATTTATGGTTGGAAAAACAACAGTATTTGACGATGCTGAGCTTAGACTTTTCCTTTGATTAATGAAAATCTTGGCAAATACTTTTATTATGCTCTGTTTTTACTAGGTCCAAAAGAGTCCACTCTCTGGACTTAATAGGAATACTTTCAGACATCTCTTTTAATTATGTTGAATGTGTAATATCTGTGGTACATCCATTTGGAAATATTAAGTAGTTAATTGATGTAATGAAAATGGAATTAAATCAAGGTAGTTGAGTTTGCGATTTCCATAGATGCAGGGCATTCATTGATGCCCTGCCATTATTCTGTTCCTTAGCCACTTGTGTGCTTCGTGGTTGCAGTGCATTGTCACTGATGCAAGACATCCCTTCATTTCTCACTCAAGCTTCTGCCCTACTTCTTTCCAGAGATACTTTACAGGTATTCTGTATGGCTGGACATCTAATCTCTTAAATGAGTAGTTTGATAAACCAGTCAACTTCTTATCGGAGTCTTAAGTCCCCAAGATGAGAAACTGTGAAGGCTTGTTGACAATCCAATGAGAAAGGGATAAGAATTTTACAAGGAAGTATTTCAGCAAGTTTGCTAAAGAATTATTAATAGTTAAACCTTTGCTTATAATAAAGGGCTAAGGGCTCTGTCAGGATCTGTGAAGCCTCCTGTTAGTAAGGCAGAACCTGAAGACATTTTGAGTATGAAAATAAGAGTTGTTCATTTTGGTCCTATGATAATAAGGAGAAAGCAGAAGGCCTGTGAGGCTGAGAGACAGGAAGAAAGATTGACTTAAACATGGTATGGGCACTTTCTACCAAAGACAGATGTAGGGCTAAAAATGCCATGTCTGTGACAGGTGCAGTGGGCCAAGGCCAGGTAGAGAGCTGTAGGAAGAGGTGAGGCAGGAACCTGTAACTAGGCCCATCTGTTGGGACTGATCTAACCACAGGTACTCAGATAAACCCAGGCTTGTTCCTGACCCACCCTTATGGCCAGCTCTGAGCCAAGACATGGACACGACCCACTCGGTTGCTTTCCACTGCCCAGGATCAGGCAGATGTAGTCTGCATTCTGAGGACACAGTTCTCTGTCTAGTGGCAGTTGTACCAAAGTAGCCTGGTCTGATAGCTACTCAACCTGAATACTATTTCCATTGCAGCACATGGGAAGATCTCACTTGCCTTTTAGATTGATCTGGTTTATATTCTTTTTCATGACATTTTGAGATTCCACATAGAGCAAGTTTGGGCCAAAATGTTAAATTGACAATGTTATGTGCATGGATTTCCAAGTGGGCTAAAAAAGTTGCTTTATGGGTAGTAAATATGGCCTGTGTAATTTGTCTCTCTTCTTTTCGCTGCCTTCTGCTTTTATGCCCTATGTCTGTTGTTGAGTTTCGATAATCAGGGGTCATCTCAATGATAAGTGTAGATAAACTGCATTTAGCATACATCTCTGCTGTTTCTGGGGGAAATGGGATTTTGCTATTATATCTTTTACTAATACTAAAAAATTTACATATTCCATTTATATTGTGAAAATTATAACTTTATTGATTTAGTCATTGATTAATTTATTTGATACTCATATTATTTTGTTCCTTTTCTGGGTGAGGCACTGTGCTCTAAGGACTTGGCATTTCAAAGAGGGGAGTAAGACACAAGGAACTTTGCAGATATTAATAGAAATGAGAATGAATCAATTGAAAGAATACTGTAAGTAGCAGATGAGAAGTAAAGAAAAACTTGCTATAGCATTTAGAACAGGGATAAGTTATTTCAAGTTTGTGGGGATTAGGAATGGCTAGCAAGAGAGGAATTCATGCAAAAGTTGACCTAAAAATGCAGTATTCCTCTCACACTCATTAAGATGGCTACTATAAAAAACAAACAGAAAATAATAAGTGTTGGTGAGGATATGGGGAAGTTAGAACCCTTGTACATTGTTGGAGGGAATGTAATATGGTGCAGCCATTATGGAACCAGTGTGGCAGTTCCTCAAAAAATCAAAAGTAGAATTACCATGTAATCCTGCACTTATACTTCTGGGTCTATATCTAAAAGGATTTTTAATTCTTTGTGGGGGAAGATATTTGACACATTGGAAGTTTTGTCTACTCATATGCTATTCACTCACTCATTCATTCATTTAGCAAACATGTATTGAATGTTTTCTATGTGCTGGACTCTGAGCTAAGTACAACAATTAATAAAGTGTATGAGGCACTGAATCTGTCAGTATCATGCTTGCTAAACGTCCACTCCCACACCCAAAGGCACTAAGCTTCTACAGGTAAATATTCACAGAGGCTTCCTACTGACTTGAATCCAGTGTAAGACATTAGTAAACAAACAGTAAGATTTGAGGTTGATGGCGGGTGGAGTTTGACAGCATGGTGATGAAATGGAAAGAGATGTGTAAGAGAATATGAACTATAATTGAAAACTGTGGGCCAGTGCTCTCTAAAGATCATTAAAAAATGAAAAATTCCCATTCGAGGCTTCCAGCCTCAGAGATAAGTTATTTAGAATGAAAAAAATTGGCAAAGTCAGATGTACTCAACCCAAGGAGCCAATGTTTTGTGAATATTATGGCAAATGTAGTTTGAGAACCGCCACCATAAAATTGTGAACAATGTCAATGTGTGAGAAGGGCAGGGAAAGGCTATAAAATTTGAGCTAAAAGGACAGACAGGGTGTGTGAAGGGGAGGACCAGTGAGAGTCAGTGTGGCCTGGGTATTCGGGTGAACAAGAGAAGCAGGAACATGAGCTTCCTTAGCCGAAAGACCCTGGGAGCTCTGTCTCCAATTTACATTAGCCATTAGCTTATCTCAGCTTTGGTGTTTTTGGTTTTTTTTTAAATCTCATAGGAATTTTCACTCCATCATTTTTCATTATCTGTCTACCTCTCTTTCCTGTACACCTTCAAACACTCTCTTCATTCATTGAAACATATTATTGAGTACCAACTACATACCAGGCACTGTGCTGGGCTCTTATCCCACCTTTATGTGGTTGCACATGCCCAGCAAATCCTGGGTCAGTATAATATCTGCTCTCTGCCTGGTCAAATGAGAGATGCAAACTTATCTGCATCTACTTCTTTCCCTATGTCCTTCCTTCCAGTCTTCTTCAAGGTGTCTTCATCAAGGTGGTTGCTTTTACCCACGTCTTTAATCCCAACTGCTATAGCTTCCCTCTTGACTTTATTCTTCTATCCATTCCCTCTCTACCTGCCCACTCCGTTCAATCCCCATGAGGCCTTCTCGGGGTTATTCCGTTCTAAAAATCCTTTTTTGTCTTATATTCTTTAGCAGCAACCCTATCTGCATCTCTTTCCAGTCTCACCCAAGTTCTCCAAGGGGTGGCCTCCACTCGCTTTCGTCTCCTGACATTCCTCCCACTCTTCTGTCCTCCAGATTTTGGCTTGTGCCTTTAACCCTTTTACTAAAACTCCTTGCTCAGAGTCCTCTCTCTGCCAGATCCCAATTCACTTTCTCAGTCCTTGTTTTATTGGACTCTTCTCCCCCATTTGGCATTATTGACCATTCTCTTCTTGAAGCTTTCTACTTTTTAACAGCTTTTTACTTCCCCATTTTCTCAGCTCTCCTAGAACTTTCTCACTGTTCATTTTCAGCTTCTTTTCTGTGATAGGCTTCTTCCGTGGAATTGTTAAAGGTTGGTGGGCCCATCTGTGCCCCTCTGCTCTTCTCAGCCTACGTGGTCTTAAAGAGGGCTATTGAATATTGAAGAATAGTATCCTCAAATTACAGAATCAAGTTACGAAGACGGATATCCAGGGTTACACAATAACAATGACATAAACATTTGAATTGTTATCTTTTTTCAAAGATTTCAGACGCGTTCTCTGATGTTTATCAGTTCCTCTGAGTTCCAAATGCTCCAGCTGTTTTATGCTTTGTCTCTGTTTCCTAAAGACCCTTAGTGTGGTCTAGAATTGGAATGAGCATTGGTCTCTAATGGTTCCGAATTACTAGTAAATTCCTGAGAAAATGAATAAGTCTGTTGGAAATCAGCTAATTTCATCTTGTCATTTTCTGGGTAATATATTCTGGTGTAAGCCGTCTGTTTTTTAAGCAAGTTTGCAATAAACAATTTCCCCTCAAGGTTAATATAATAGGCAACACCTTTTGCTGTAACAGACGGCAAGAGGTACTGAAAGATTAGTTTACATTATGGTTCATTATTTCAAAATGTCAGAATAAAGTGGATCTGCTGCATCTCCCAAGCCTCTTATTCTTTAGAGGAGAGTGCATATTTTGCTTTTCTAATGTTAATGGATTTACTGTTGTTGTTGTTGTTTGTTTTTTTTTTCCAGGCCAAATTCAGATAATCGACGCCAGGGTGGCAGAGAGAGATTGGCCAGTGCCAATGACAAGGGAAGCATGGCCATGGAGTCTGCCAAGGAGACTCGCTACTGCGCAGTGTGCAATGACTATGCCTCAGGCTACCATTATGGAGTCTGGTCCTGTGAGGGCTGTAAGGCCTTCTTCAAGAGAAGTATTCAAGGTAATAGTGTGTTGAAAACAACTTATTCTATTTTTGATCCTAAGAGCAGATCCTAAGAGCAGAAGCAACTGGAGGAAGGAACACATACAAGCAGCCATTTGTACAAAACACTCATACCTACTAGGCCCACTAGTATCTTTGGTAGAAATGTGAGAAGAGCTAGGATCTCAGGAGAAGGAGTTAACAGATGCCAGGGCAGCTGTAGCTGAGTAATTCTGCTTTCTTCATTTGGCAAGATCCAGACAGTCTTGAGCAACTCTGCATGCAGGAGGGTTTCGGTAGCTGGGTCTCTGAGAAAAAAAGAAATGTTCTCTGTGCCCCGATTGAGAGATAGCAGATGGACATTCCTGTTTTGCAGGTAAATATTTTTTCTGTGATATGGTATGATATTAATTGTCCATGCATAATTACCTCTTTACCTTGGCCTTGTCCAGGTAAATACTCTGTTCTGATCTTTGCTCCAGACCAATTCTAATTTGGCTTGTTCTCTTCTTCCTCTCTTCTGTCTCTTTCTTGTCTCAATGGATGACATGACCTTTTGCTAAAATAAGCAGACTCAATGGCTGGTGATTTGTAATGTGGGGTGGGGTGGGGTGGGGTGGAGTGGGCAGGGGAGGGTACCATCTGTACCAAACAGTTACTTAATACCCACCTGTAACGTTTCCTTCTCCTGCCTGCCTCCATCCTTTTTCTTGTATATAGTTTACCAATTGCAGCTTCTTCAGCTACATTTTATTTCTACACTAAGAGTGTCTCTTTTCTTGCATTATATAGGATTCCCTGGGGAGACATCAATCATTTTTACTACCTAAAATATCTGCGCTAAAGATCCTTTGTCTGATAGGAACAGAGGTCTGACAGCAATTTAGGCTAACTAAATTAATTTTTTCTTTTGTCTTAAATGTGGGGCTTTTTTTCTCTTCTTATTCTTTCACCTTTTCAGCTTAAGGAAGGTTAGTCTATAAATACTAAGAATATTTCTGGTGGAGTTTTCGTGTGATTCCCTCTGTGGGGAATCAGACCTCAGTAACTTGAAAACCAGTCTGCTAAATTAATAACATGCTGATTGAAGAAGCGATTCTCATGAACTTTCTGCTACAGATCTTCACTGCCCTGATATAAGAGGAACGCTGGGGGATAATACATATTATTTATTTTTCCTTCCATTGCCAGTGAGATTTTCTTTTTTTAAAAAAGCTGTTAGTATCTTAATCAAGTAGCATGTGAAGTCAATGTGCTCCATTTTAAAAGCATTTTCTTTGACATTTATTGCTTTCAACATCTTTTGGAACTCTACTGTGAGGCTTGGACTTTTTATAAAATGAATGATGTTCTTGATAGTAAATCTTTGCACTTGTGTATGAATAAATTCTAAATATAAATTAGCATATTTATTAATTTACTAAATATATAATAAAGAAATACACAGACTATTTAATTTTACTAGCTGTTACTATCTTAATTCAGAAAAAAAGATATTTATATTTTGATTTAGGTTGACATAAGCCCTTAAACGTCTTTTGACAACCATCTTAATTTGTGGTTTTGCTGTTTATTTGAGATTATATAATCTAAAATGCCATTATTTTCACCAAGCATTTAGTCCGATAGTGAAAAAACATCTGACAGAGGTACGGTTATTGGATAGGTTCAACTACATACGTGGACAAATTTATCTGAGACTGAATTCCCTCATTAGTCAAAGTGATTTACAGTAGTGATTAGCAAAGATTTTCTGTAACGGGACAGATAGTAATTATTTTAGGCTTCACAGGCCATACAGTTTCTGTTGCAGCTACTCAACTCTGGCATTATAGCTTGAAAGGAGCCATAGATGATATGTAAATAAATTGGAGTGGTTATGTGCCAATAAAACTTTATTTATAAAAATAGGTAATGATCAGAACTGGCCTGGGGGTCATAATTTATTGACCCTTGACTTTATTTTATTTTATCTAATTTAAATACCATTATTTGTGGAAAGGGAATAAATGGTTTCCAAATCTAAAGTTTTGATTATTCATGTTTTATTGAGAACTTACTCTATACCTGTCTAGATGTTCTGAGAGAAATCAAAAAATGTGTACAAAAGACACAATCCATAATCCCACAAAATTTAGAATTTATTTGGGAAATTTATATGGGGAAGTAAAGGTACTTGTTCTCATGATACAATTAAAAAGTAATCAGTATAGATAAATTGCTACCTGTGTGACAAAGGTAAGGAAAACAATAGATGAATGTAAGAAAATATTATTAGCTATAAATGTAAAATTATTGAGATTGAAAGTAGAAATGACCTTCCTCCAAAAAACAGTAATGATATCTGCACAAATTATTTTCATCACATTTGTTCAGCATTTAGGAGCATACCACATAAATTCTGATAAAATTTAGTATTGTTTCTAAGCATTAAAAACAGAAAACACAGAATCAGTGAAGAAAATGTGAGCTTATAGAAAGATATATTTTGTCGGTATGGCATTATCTCAAGTTGAAATATTTTTTTTTTTTTTTGAGACAGAGTTTCACTCTGTTGCCCTGGCTAGAGTGAGTGCCGTGGCATCAGCCTAGCTCACAGCAACCTCAAACTCCTGGGCTCAAGCAATCCTTCTGCCTCAGCCTCCCGAGTAGCTGGG